GGTGGCTTGTGGCAAACTTTAAACGACACTTTTTATGGATATCTTTAAGAAATGGCTTTCTTCTTGCCACTCTTCCATAAAGGCCAGATTTGTGCAGTATACAACTGATTGTTGTCCTATGGACAGAGTCTCCCACCTCAGCTGTAGATCTCTGCAGTTCATCCAGAGTGATCATGGGCCGCTTGGCTGCATCTCTGATCAGTCTTCTCCTTGGATGAGCTGAAAGTTTAGAGGGACGGCCAGGTCTTGGTAGATTTGCAGTGGTCTGATACTCCTTCCATTTCAATATTATCGCTTGCACAGTGCTCCTTGGGATGTTTAAAGCTTGGGAAATCTTTTTATATCCAAATCCGGCTTTAAACTTCTCCACAACAGTATCTCGGACCTGCCTGGTGTGTTCCTTGTTCTTCATGATGCTCTCTACGCTTTAAACGGACCTCTGAGACTATCACAGTGCAGGTGCATTTATACGGAGACTTGATTACACACAGGTGGATTCTATTTATCATCATTAGTCATTTAGGTCAACATTGGATCATTCAGAGATCCTCACTGAACTTCTGGAGAGAGTTTGCTGCACTGAAAGTAAAGGGGCTGAATAATTTTGCACGCCCAATTATTCAGTTTTTTATTTGTTAAAAAAGTTTGAAATATCCAATAAATTTCGTTCCACTTCATGATTGTGTCCCACTTGTTGTTGATTCTTCACAAAAAATTACAGTTTTATATCTTTATGTTTGAAGCCTGAAATGTGGCAAAAAGTCGCAAAGTTCAAGGGGGCCGAATACTTTCGCAAGGCACTGTATGTGTGAGTGTGTGTGTGTGTGTGTATCTCAAGAAATCCTTCTCACTCAGCAAAACAGAAAAGGGGAGTGGAGATAGCTTTGCCAAAGGGAAACCATAGTTAGAAATACTCAATATTATAAAAATGTTCCATTTAATTTAAATGTATCATTGCTATAAAGACACCAATCAATCTAAGCGCATGTCTTTGGACTCTGTATTACTATGGATAGAAGTACGGTGTATGTCCATATATGTATTGAGCTCCTGTGTATTTCTCCCTACTTACTCGCTCATGTCCATGTCACCCACTTTAAACACACCAAATAGCCTGTTTCCACACATATTATACCTCAATGAGAGGGGTAGTTTGTCTACCCAACTCCAATGCCCATAAATTAACTCTCTCACACACCCTCACAGCTCTAATTCAATGAAAAGAGGGATAGATCTTTTACACAACACCAAAAGTGCATAATTTACCTGTCCACACACACTCAGACAATTTCCAGCACAGTAAAATAGGAGCTCCTCTAACACACAGTCAAAAACACCAATGATAACACACACACAGACAGATTTTTAACACAAAAATGGGTAGTTTTTCTAGTATAATGCCGATTCTCAGTAATTTCCAGGCAGTCACTTCAAGAAGTACAGATGACACTTACTCATCTGTAACAGACTCTTGAAGTGTGCCGCATATCATACCCAGACCTGCAACAGAACAGATTCGCACCTGCAGCTGGAGTATCTATTTCTGTCAGGGTGTTTACAGAAGTGACACGTCTTAATTGCACTTCATTTTCTTGACCACTAGATGTCACACTATTTACTGTGTTATCCAACTGGAGCACTGTGTCATTGAAGCCTCGAGTAATGAACCATTTTTGTGAATACTGTGTCGAAGCTTCAACAAAGCCTCGATCAGCCATCACTAACTGTATCCAGATAATCTGTTACGCACACTTAGCTCAGCCTGTTTAGTTTTTTTCTGCAAACTGTTCCTTATTATTATTTATTATCTATCAGTCAATTATCTCAATCACTCAGTCATCAGTTTGTCTTTCTTCTGTGGGAATAAAAACAGCAGCTGAAGGTGAAACGCCAGGTTCGGGATTCTGTATTTAGGAGTTTGGACTTAGTAAAGTCTCGATGTGCAACAAGAACACCTGCACCCTTTCTGATGTTAGGGTGATTTTTATTTTAAGTAGATATGAATAGGATTAGTTAAGGTTTTATTTTATAGCACACATAAGTCTACATACTTTTATTTCACAGTTATGTTTATGTAGTTATATATCACCTTATGTGTTCACTGAATCACTGGTCAATATTTACTGTGTTATCCAACTGGAGCACTGTTTAACATCAAAGGGACTTGTTCACTAAATCACTGAATCTCATTAGATTTACAACTTTGGCGATGAGAGTCCACAGTTATTTTATTATCACACCATCTGGCTGATGAAGCCAGGGGAAATAGGGTTCACTGGGACACCAAGGTTAGTAAACGGAGATTAGCTCTGAAGCCAGGAAGAGGAGAAAACTTCAAAGGTAGAACCATATGCACACACACAGAGTAGTTTTAATTGGTAAACCAGAAAGCAATGCCTAATATGGAGCAGTTAGTTAGAAACAAAGGAAGAAGTGAGTGTCTATGCAGAAATTAAGGCAGTATAAGTATTCCTCCCCTTCCTAGGGCGCTATCCTCTACGATTGGGGCAGATAGGACGTAGGAGGACGGACGGTGGACCGAAGGACCAACAAAGTCTAAACCACGGCTCCTCCCCAACAGTTTTTCACCAATTAGATAGTAGCACCTTTTGATACAAATATTGTATACCGATAAGTTGAGGGAGTCTTTTCTGTTTTGCTTAAATAATGAAGATCCATGTGCACATGCTTATTTTGATACGTTAATGGATAATAAATTTCACACTGTGGAATATCCGTATACCAGTCTTCTCTTCTCAAATAAAAGAACACTCCTCACACTGGAACCTTCGTAAAATATACTATCTTAATACACAATGAAAACACAAAATAAAACAACAGTGTAGCCTACCTTAAAGACCCAGTTCAATGCTGACTTGTCACAAAAGCTAAGTAAAGGAACAGGTTTGTAATTTGTACATGCCACAATGCAGATACCAACATTCAAATTTAGTGCCCTCTCACAGCTAGCAGTTAGTGATGGGAAGTTCGGATCATTTTACTGATTCGGTTCTTTGAATCTCGTTCAGCAAAATGAATGAAACTTTTTTCGAGTCATTTCGTTCACTTCAGCAGAATGTAATTAAAACGTTACATGTTAATTCCCCATCTACTTACGCACATGTTGATCATGTTTCAAATAAGAAAGAACTGTAATGCAGCCAAGGTCATATTATAAGTAATATCGTACCTGTGTCTTGAGGCTATGCAGCATCACCTCACCTCCGATATTTTGGGTCAAATTCGTTTGGTCTTTTGTCACGTAACATCCTAAGCTAAGCTATGCTGTGCCGTCTTCTGTATAGTATACAGAAAGATTTTTCCTAATGAAGTTTAAAGCATTAACCTATTCTTTATTAAAACATTCAGTGTTATGGAAAAGACAGATATTCACAAAATTATAGTCGGTAAGAAATAAAAACCTATTTTATAATAAAAATAAATGCCTCACGTAACAGTAAGAGTAAAAAAAAACTGTAAAGACAGTTGAAAATTAAGTAATTTCTGTATCCAACAAAGCGGTCATGTCACGTTACAAAAACAAACAACTCAAAACCGACGACCCGAAAGGTGTACTAATCTTATGTGCTGTTGCGCATGCGCGGTCAACACAAAATGAACAAATCACTCCCCGAAACGACCCGATGTTATTGAGTCATGGGAAAGATTTGTTCAAAATAAACGACACATCACTACTACCAGTAGCTACAGGTAGTGATGGGTGATTGAGGCTTTGTTGAAGCTTCGACACAGTATTCACAAAAATGGTTCATTACTCAAAGCCTCAGTGACACAGTGCTTGAGTAGGACATCTAATGGTCAAGAAAATGAAGTGTAATTAAGACGTGTCACTTATTGGTTCATGGATTGTTTGGGATTTGATTCGCCATGCATATTCCTGTTTGACTACACTACATGGTTGTATGTGCTTGTGTAACTGTTTATGAGTTTTTATTGAGAAATAAAAACTAAAAAAAAGTAAGAAGTAAATCCACAGTGTTTGGACACAAGCGGTTTCTCCTTTTACAGACTATTTCCCCAGCCTTGGAAAAAACCTGTTCACATGACACAGATGAGGCTCGGGTACACAGGAAATGCTTGGCTAATTGATAGAGGTTTGGGTAAACAGTTTTATGGGTGGCCCAGTATATGAGGGCATCATCAGTTCTTTCCAGGGGAGGATCAGCCAGGTATCGGTTCACTTCCACAATTGCATTAGCTGTGGTGCTTTGCATGTGCCTGGCTCTGTGTGCATCTTGATGCATAAGTCTCCACAGGTCAACACCTGAAAAATATTGAAGAACAAGCTCAGGTCCTCTACCACAGGCCTGGGATCTCAGATGTTGCTCCAGGGATCTGTTGGAGCCACTCTCACAGTTTGGGGGTCACAGTCCCCAATGTTCCTATTACCATGGTGACCACTTGTGGAAGGTGGAGGCACATCTTTTC